GTCATCTAATACTCCTTATGAACACAATAAATAACGACAAGCTCAGAGAGTCTTTGTTTTTGCCCACTCTGTGGCACTGACCTCCTGGCCCCCATGTATTTTGAAATTATTCTGGTCTCTATTATCTTTTTTTTTCTTTAGCCCTTGCCATCCCCCTTTTGAGGCAGTCAGAGGATTGGTCATCCTCTGATATATTTGACAGAAATTTCATTTATATGAGAATAGAAGGGAAAAAATGGAAACAAAGTTGTTGTAAATAAGAAGAGGAAGAAGTGTTGAAGGGAATGGAGGGGAATGGGAAAAAAGAAGAATCAAGTTATATCATATACAGGTACAAATTTCCAATGATGAAAGTTATTATTATTTATATCTAAAATGTACCAATAAAAAATAAATTAGAAAGGAAAAGAAATTCCCCCCAAAAGAAATTTCATTTATAGATGTGAAGATCCCCATGAAAGTTCAGTCAGATGTTCATTCAGGAAGCAATGGAAAACAAGGCCAAGAGGTAACGTTGTTACAAGAATGTTGGAGTCATGGTTCATGGTGACAAAGAATGAAACAGTGGAGCCAGGGATTTAGCTCAGTGGTGCCACCACCTGCTTCAAAAGTGCAAGGTCCCCAGTTTGATCCCCGGTACCAAAAAAAAAAAAAAAATGAATGAAACTGGAGGAAGAAGCCCAGGTGTAAGCAAACATTTAAAAGATGTAAAGTTGAGAAATAAAAGCTATAACTGTAAGGAAATCAAGCTCCTACTAACCAGGAGGTGGTTCTGAATCAGATGCCCATGAATGTTCTTTGTTTTGGGCCTTTTAAGGGATTTAGAAGGGAGCTCAGGCCTTTGTGGAAACAATATATTCTCTCCCTTATAGGAGACTATATAATTTTTAGGTCTAATCTGTGTAGTGCTTACAAAGTGTCTGTGTAGGGCCCATGTGCCCTTGAGTCAATGTCCTGTCTGATCATGTCCTGAGGAGGTCTCAGACAGGCAAAGAACATGTGGCACATTATTTTGTACGATTTCTGGAGGGTTGTGACTTAGTAGACTATTTTTATTTCTTTTACTCTATTTTGGGTGCATTGTCCTTATTCTGACCTAGAATCTTAATTCTTATCTCAATAATTTTTGGTACACTCCCCCCTCTGAAAAGATAACCATAACTACCATTAGAGAAAAGAGTAGTGATTACTTTAGCTGTTTTGAGCTGTACAGGAGGCTAGGAGAGTGCTAGGTGTCAGGACCATTCTCTAGAGTGTTTGTCTAGCAACCCATGATAGAAATGAGGTGTGATCTCTTCTATAGGTTCCATCTTGATGACTATCTGAAGTTTAATAGATTCTAGGCAAGAGGAAATAAAGTGAACAAGTAGACTGAGTAAACAAGGCCTAAATATGCAGAGGAATAGCAAGAGTGTCAATATTGGTGAAGTTTTAAAAGTGTCCAAGCTTACCCCCCATAAGAAATTAAGGAGGAAGCATTTTAACCTAGATTGAGTGAGAGACTATTTTAGGAAATAGCCCAGACTAGAGATAAATGTAGACATTGTGAAGGTGGACTGTTTAAGAATGTGATGTCAGGGAGGGCACTGGTAACAGTATATCTTTTTCTCTGAGACAAAGGCTGAATATCATATAAGAGTTTTCTACAGAGGAAGTAGATGGCAACTTCTTCAGGATACAGTGGTGGTTTTGTCCAGGCAAACTTTTTTTTTGAGACAGTTTTTCACTATGTAGTTCTAGCTAGCCTGGAACTCACTATGTAGCCCAGGCTGGCTTGAACTCATTGTAATCCTCCTGCCTTAGCCTCCAAGTGCTGGGATTACAGGGGTGTACTGCCACACTTGGTTAGCCAGGAAAATTTAGAGATAAATTGTAAACCTGTGTCACATCAGGGGAGATAATGGTTTCCCAACATGACTATGGGCCCACGGAGGAGGGTCTGGTTTAGAAAACCAGTCACCTTTGTACAGAGTGGGTGGTCATTAATTGTGTGTTTATGGGGGTTTGACTTGCAATGTTTTGGGTGATAAGAATGAAAAGAGAATCTGGGTATAGTTACAAGCTAAATTTACTGCTTTAAAAAATTACCACATTACTGGGTCCCAGTTAATGTGAACCTTTCTCAAATTTGGTTTTTAATAGCTGTAAACTGATTGTAAAGATTTTCATATAGCATGCATTCTGCACACACTGGTGATCACATGCCCAGGCCCTTGCTCAGCTGTGGGATCACAAGGAGACAGAGAAATGGTCTCTGCTTTTTCAAGGGACAATCTCATACTCTTAAGGCACAATCAAGAGATTCTTCTCCTTGATATTTACTTAAATGAGTAAACCAGGAACTGATGTTCACAGGACCTCTAGAGCATGGTGTATTATCAAGCCATGAAAAGCCACGAGGACATTTTGGTGCATATTTTTGTGTGAGAAATGACAATGTGAAAATGCTACAAAAATGACGATATTCTGGAAACAGTAAAACTGTGGAGAGAGTAAGAAGGCATTGATTGGTAGAGACTGGAGTGAGGGAGAGCAGCCAATGCACAAAGCATTTTTAGGCCAATTGCAACTGCTCTTTATGATGCTATAATGGTGGGAATTCATCATGATTTGTTTTTCAGAAGCTATAGAATGTACAACACAAAATCTGCAGCTTAAACTATAGACTTTGTGTGACAATTGTGTGTCAGTTTGGCTCTTCAGTTGGAACATAAGAACCTCTTTGTGGTAGAAGTGTCACAAGCTAGTTCTGAGGGTTCCCGAGGCTGACATAAGGAATTTAACCCACCCCTGTAACAGAAGCACACTGGTTCACCAACTCCTGTAATGGAAAAAGAGTTTTCAGGATGCATCAAGAAAAGAGGCATGAGAAGGGTTTATTAAAGGGTGACAAGATGAACTCAAGTGTGGAATGTGGGTCCTCGGAGAAAGGAGATGATATAATTGGTGACTGAGGATCTTTATTTGTTTTACAAGGTAGAAATCTATGGAGTGCAACAATCTATAGTCTTAGTCTTAGTCTTAGTCTTAGAGGTTGGGAGAGGATGGCCCACCTATTGTGAGCTAGTCCTGGGGAAAAGCCAAAAGGGTGTACCCTTCATGGGTGAAAGAGTATTATAGAGAGCTAAGTTAGGTAGAAATATCATAGGCAGTCAGACAGGGCTAGGTCCTCAAGGAAGTCAGTGCAGAGGATGAAAACACATTACAACTGTGGCTGGAGGCACATTTTTTGAATTTCAGGCCTTAAGGTAAGGACAGAGTGACCAGGCCTGCATGCCTTCCCAAGGGATAGGTAGTATACTATAATTGGTACTGTCTGGTCCAATAAAGTCTACATAGACATCAGACACCCCAGTGGGTGACCAGGACCTCCTGATTCTGCTCTTGCTAAAAACATCCTTGTCCTTTCTATGTACACTTGCTACATGTGACCTGCTTCCCCATTGTATCATTATTACCTAAGAGGCTATACTTGTGATCTTATTGGTTGATCTTAGTTTTGTCCCACTTTGTACCCACCTTGTAATTTTGCTCTGTAAAACTTTCTCTGTAACATGCAGTCCATGGCAACCCAGTTTTGGATCCCATCCTATCTCTCAGGAGATATCTCTCCCAATACATTTTTCCTGTGTTTAACCTAGATGGTTAATGCAAGATAGGAATAGTGATAAAGTATTATATGCCATTATGATTTTAGTATTCACTAAGAGTTAATTTGTTTGTCTCTACTGGCCACGTACAGTTTAGTTTTGCAAACCTGGCATCCAGCAGAAGGGCAGACAACAATTAATGAGGCCCAGAGACTCTGGCTCCTATCCAATTTGGTGTAACTCCACCCTTGGGAGAGGGGTTCTCCCTAGTGCAGTGAAGCTTTTCCTCAGCAAGGCCAATGATTAAGACTGAGTCTCCTAGGCAAACCCGTGACCAGTGTTCAGGATCTTGCTGTTTCCTTAACACTGAGAATCCCTGGTAAGAAGAAATCTTTCTTTTACACACTTAGAATGTTCCTGGCCTTGAGTGTTCCCCTAGTGCCCCAAGCTCCTGTCGCTACGGTTGTTTTTTAGTATCAAAGTAGCTTACATGGAGCTTTTTCCTCAAAAACTCTCCCTTTCTCCTGTCTTCTGTGGTTTCACCAATGACCTGCCCTAGTATGCATGACCCTGATCACCTTTCCTGCAATTTCAAAGGAACCCTACTCTACTGAGTTGATCTTTCATGTGCTCTTTAGGCTTATTACCTTAGAGTAACCCAAAGAACAACCACAGAAATAAGGAAGAAAGAGCCAGGCATAATGGACTATTCTTAAAATCTCAGCATGGTGGAAAATTAAGGCAGGAGGTCCAAAAGTTTGAGCCCAACCTGGACAATTCAGAGACATTGTGTGGAAATAAAGAGGCAGTGAAGACTCAAAGATGAATTCACAAAGATGAGCCTTCACAAAGATGTGAAGGCTCAAGTGAAGGCTCAAAGATGAATTCCAAGAATTAGAGGTGTACGGGGAAAAGGGAAGAAAATCCAAGAAATACAGAGGTAACAGTTGCCCAGAGAAAACTAAAGAATGGGAGGGAATGAGCAACATGGCAGAAACCTTTTTTGATCCTGTAAAATCTTGAGGTCAAACCTCACTGATCAGGCAAGACAGGGTCCTTTCCCATCACTTCCTGTAGATTTGTAAGGTCTAAACTTGAAATCAAGCCCACTGAACATGGAGAAAACTAAACAGCAATTTCTTTATTTCTAGTCATTTCTTTACATCCATCCACATATTGGCCATGCAAAAAATCACCATTCAAGCATGATTTTACAACTTGAAACTCAGATTACTTTTTCAAAGCCTATCTAGGACTCATGTCCCCAAACATCAAAACCACTTTTCAGATCAACACTTCTCCCTCCAATGCCACCCATTTCTGTCTGGCCTGTGCCTTTCACAGTCACACTGAAATATGAACTGTCTGGTTCCCAATGGCATGAAGGAAGCATAGGATGTATGAATTCAGCTAGATGAAGATATAATCAGGGCAGCGAATAGACTCCTTGTAATGGATTTTTGAGTTACCACAGAAATCACACTGACTAGTATTGAAGCAGATCATCCTGGGATAGTTTAATGGCTTCATAATCCTCTTCAGTGCATCACGAATCTTGCCCAGTCTAATCTGATGGGCAGCGTTCTGGCCACCACAAATCTCCCAAGGAACAGGATACTGCTCCATTCTTAAGTTGCTCATCCTGGCAGTGCGGCACAGCAGGCTCTCCAAGGTTGCCACAGAGATGCAATTCCTTATGTACCTGAAAGTGGCGAGCTTGGAGCATTGGCCCAGGGCAGGAATGATGGCACAGAGCTGGGAATCACTGAACCCACAGGCCTCCAAGTGCAGCGTGGTCAGAGTGCCAGCAGCTATCTCCAGCAGAACTTGTAGAGGCTCAGGAGGAAAATCAAACAGCCGGACCTCACTCAGATATAAGTGTTTGAGCTGCCAAGTGCTCGGGAACCGGGACAGATGGTTCCAGTCTGAGTGTGAAAGCCAGCAGTCAGTTATTGAAAGATTCTCCAAGGGAGACTGCAGAGACCTAAAGGGAGACCAAGCAGTTAGTACTGGCAGTTGACGAGAAGGGAATGGAGGAGCAACTACAAGGTAAAGGAAGACTGCTTTCACCCATGTCACTTGGGATAATCATCTGATGATAATCATCAGTAAAATGCTATGTGTAGCAGATACTGATCATTCATGTTACCCCACTTTAGACTGAGGTCATTCACCATCACTTGCATGAGTCGCTGAGCGCCCAGTCTCAATAGTCTGCTTTTCTCACTACCAAGCAGCAAACCACTTCTTGGGCCACATAATACTGATGGAAGTGAGATAAGAAGGAAACATCAGACTTGATCTGGCTACAAGTCCTGGAATTGCCACTGTGTCTGCAGGAAGACTGTTCCTATTCCAAGGACCGCACCCTAATCCACACCCTCAGCTCTAAACTGCTGCACCTCCTATTTGCCCATTACCCTTCCTGGAGCCCTAGTGGGATTTTTTTTTAATTTGTTTGTCTCTGAGACCAGGTCTCACTTTGTAGTTCAGGCTAGTCTTGAACGAACTATGCAGCCCAGTCTGGCCCCAGTCAATCCTCCTGCCTCACCCTCCAGAGTGCTGGGATTACAGGTGTGTACCAGCACACATAACAACAGCAACATTTTCAAGAGGGGCCATAGAGACAGGTTCACTACTTGTCACATGCCTGCTGTGTAAGACCTCAAACATTGAACGTGAGGTGTGAGTTATTTCCCTCTTTCATGCACTCTCTCTTCTATATTTCTCAATACCTTAACCTAGACATGATTCCTAAGGAAGAAGTAAGCAATGTGCCATCACAGTACCCCACATGTGGCATCCCAGCATGGTGGCCCTTTCCTGTCAAGTTGTTTCATGTTAGTTGTTATGTGAGACCTCACTTTAGCACGGAGGTGTGACCAAGGAAATGTGTTGACTCTCTAGTGTCTGGATCCCTGTTACATCTGGTGGCAGACACATCATCCATATCCATTAAACTTTCTAGAACAAAGAAAAGCTTTTCTGTACTCTGCAGAGAGAGCTTACCCGAGTATCTGGTTCAGGTGGCCTTTAAGGAAAGAGGCAGAATTTATATAAATTTCCTGAAGACAGTGCAGCTTGAGAATCTGAGAGGTGAATTGATTGGCCAGCTGTTCTCCCTTCTCTGTAGGAATGAACTCTGCTGCAGAGATGTGGGAGAGAATTAGTTTGTGAAGATTTTGCATCTGGCCCAGGTAAGGGGCAAAACTCGCCAGAGTAGAAAATGACCAGAAGGGACACAAATCTGCCTCCAGAACACAGCTCAGGTCCACCATTTCTATGGCCTTCCTCATGATTCGGATGGGGACTGAGCCAATGTGCAGCTTCCTGCAGTCCAGCTGCAGTGAACCTTTTCTCTTCTCCACCCAATCTAATAGGTAGAACTGGAATAGGAATTCGAGTAGATATTCCATCCTGATGTGTAGGTCTATGATCACCTTCAGAGGCTGCTTTTCCTCCACATTTGACCCATTCTTTTCCATTTTCCTAGTGCTTGCGGCCACAGGGGAACAGGCTTGAGTCGGGTTTTCAGTAGAGGCTTTCCAGAAGTCCTGCTGTGTGTTCCGCAAATCTAGAACTTGCAGTTTCCACCTCCTGTGGGTAAACTAGGAATGAGTCTCAGAATTTAGGCCTTGTCCCAGCTTTCCTCTTGTACTATATTCCTCATCTCTGACATCAACTGGTTCTCTCTCTAGTCCTTCTGTCTTAATTATCTCTTCTTTACCATGGATCGAGGCCAGTCCTTACTCTCAGTGCCTTTTTGAGAAGTCAGGTAATATTGCTCCTTTCACTGCTGCCTCCTCTGTTCACAGCCCTCCTCCCCCAGCTGCCAGTACCCAGGGGGCTTAGCAGTGGCCAAGGCCTCTCTGATCCTCCTCATGGAAACCATATGAAGCCTCTGTTCCTCCTCAGCCCCACACTCTCCCTCACACTTATTATGATTTCCCAGTCCCTCCCTCCAAGATGCCTGGGTCATCCTCACCTGGGGCGAACCTTCTGGGCCAGCAGCACGTCAAGCCCATCCAGCATAGCTTGTAAGTTTTGTAGGTACTGTACCCGCAGCTGGGAAATATGCAGGTGTGTTTCTGAGGCCTCTTGTTTCCTCATGTGCATTAGGGTCCCCAGTGGGAGGCAGTAGAAGGGCCAGGCTGGAACCATGGCCTTCAGAACCTCAGTGTGTCCCCTGGTGAAGGCCTCCAGGAACAGTGGTTGGAAGAGGTCCCCTGGCAAGTCCTCCAAAGCCTGGATGACCAAGTCCTTATTTCTTAGAAGCCTTTGTATTGCCAGGTGCAAGAGTGTGTTTGGGGCCTCTTTGCTCATTGTGGTGAATCTGCAAGGACAAGTATCCTGGAAAATAATTCAGAAAAAGGCATCCTTCATCCTTTTAGCTAGGTTGAAAATCCCTCTCTCCTCACCCATACAGGAACCAACTTTCAGCTCTATTTTGTGGTGTGGCAATGGCAGCAGACTCTTCAATTTACCCCAATTGTATTCTGTGCTTATTGCCGAAAGCAATAGCTCTGTCTCTAATGACACCAGGATGAATGTGTAATAGCCCAATATGGGCCCATGCATTTCCAAATGCAGTATCGTAAACTCTGGACCCAGTAGGAAGTGGGAACTGAGGAACTTGAAAACCCATTCCCAACAATTTTAGCCCATTCCCAACAATTCCCAACGATTTTAGCCCATTCCCAACAATTCCCAATAATTTTTATGCTTGCTCCAAGAGTATGGAATTGTCATGTGGCCAAACCTTTCTAATTTCTCAGTTCCAACAATGCATGTGACTACCAACGATTAAGGAGATTCAACAAAATAAATACCACGGTTTTCATTTCAAAAATTATAAAATGTGAATTTCTCCTCCTTCAGAGCCAGGCAGGAGTGGAACAGGTTCTACATGTCTTCTCCCCTGGGGTGTCTTCTCATGAAACACAAGAGGGGGACATAGACACCCTGGGGGTAATCATGCATGGATCTCAGCAGCTACTTTGGGAACCCCACAGTACAAGAACCATCTTCATGGATGAAATATATGAATCCCAAGCTGGTAGATTTGAGGGATGAATGATAGGATGGAGGAGGTGTTTCAGAAAAGGAGAGAGCAGGTAAATGAGATTACAGGAACAGGAAATGTCTAGGACCTAGGATGGAGAGGAGGGTGCAACCTTGGTTTTGCAAACTTTGACAAATAGGAGTTACCAGAATGTAACTCTTTGTCTTACTGTTTTTAGCACTTTGACCAAATTTTTCAAACTCTATTTTTCTCATCTTTGATGGTGCTCACCATCTTATCCTGGTTCCATTAATTCTTTGAAAGAGGTACTACTGTCATCTCCGACTTGGAGTAAGGACTTGGCATAAAGAACAGTGAGATTTCTGCCCAAGTCCTAGAGCTCCTTCCTAATTGCTCATGGATCTTTGATGTTCCTCCGTCCTGTCCCCTCTTTCCTCTCTGCACACTGCTCTGTTTGTGGGTCTTTGGCTCCACTGTTTCCTCCTACTAAACCCCACCCCTCAGGATAGACTGGGCCTGGTAGGCCATGCTGCAGAAATAAATGAATGAGACTCATTGCTACACCCACTTTCTAGATCTTGTTGGGACTCAACCTCCTGCTGCACCCCAGTCCACAAAGACCCTCCTGTGCTGTCTCCACTATCACGCACACTTGTCATTCACCAGGAGTTTCCCTGGCCTTGCAGTCACAGCCCTGGGCTTTAGCATTGCAGTTTATTGGGTAGAGGATAGAGAGTGAGACCAAGAAGAAAAAGTAGGATGATAGAGGAATGAATGAGAGACTGAATACCCTAGGAATGAGGATTGTGGGGAGAACAGAAAGGTATGAATCACAATACTTTTCTCTCTTCTTCTCCTTCTCCCCTGTTGACTGTCATCAGTGAGCTATGTGGCCTTGGACAGGTGTTTTAACCTCCCTCAGCTCCTTCAGCAACAAGTCCAGATGATTAGCACCTCTTCCAGGAGGCCATAGGCATGCATGGGTAACACCAGAATCCATTCCATCAAACTATGGCACAGCTCATTCAAATTCACCTCCGTTTTGCTCTAGGCTCTTGATATGTTCCTGACCCATCCCTGAAACCACACTCTAGCCCTCATGTTTGTGCTATTATCTTCCCCACTTCTGTATAATTGTTCGCAGGTCTCAACACAAATTGGAAAAGATTAGTTTCATTCCAATTTTTTATATTTTTTTGAGACAGGATTTTGCTTTATAGTTCAGGCTGGTATTGAACTCATTATGTAGCTCAGTCTGGCCTCAAACTCATGATGATTCTCCTTCTTCAACCTTGTGAGTTCTGAGATTATAGGGATGGGCCACCTCACCCGATTCATTACAAATTTTGAAGACTACAAGAAAATAATAATTTTTCTCCTTTCCAACTCTTCCTCTCACATCACTGTGCATTTTGTCCACCACTTCCAGGTGAAATAAAATAACCAACTTTAATAAGGAATATGTGAAAGCAATGTAAGTATTATAGAGTACCTTAAAGTTATGATGAAAAAATGCTAACAGGTATGTAGATGCCCACAGCTATGTCTTATTTATCTAAAATTTACCACTTTGGGATGGAAATGGGGCTGAAATAATTTCACTTTAAAAATTGTTGCCTAGAATATTCTTAAGCTTTTAGCTAAAAGGAGCATCTAACTTATCCATTCATAAAACCACAAAGTTTATGAGCAATAATTTTAAGGAGCACAACCTAAGTATTTAAAAAAATCTAAGGGCCAGACATGTTGACCTACCTACCTGTTATTCCAGCACTCTCAGGAGCCTGATGCAGGATGATCACAAGTTCAAGCCCAGCCTAGGGAACTTGGTGACTTCACAATTCCTTGTCTTAAAGAAAACAAATGTAAAGGGCTCAGGATGTAGCCAATTTTAAATCCAGCCAGAGCAAGTTGGTGACTTTGAGACATGCTGTCTCAAAATTTAAAAAATACCACAGGTGTTGGCACACACCTATAATCACAGCATCTGGGATACTGATCCGGGGGAATCATAAGTTTGAGCTCAGCCTGAGTCACTTAGCAACTTAATGAGAAACTGCCTTGAAATACAAAATAAAAAAGGGTTAAAGTATAGCTCAGTGTAAAGGCTCTGAATCCAATTCTCAAACTGACAAAATATAAAACTAAGGATAATTAAGAAAGATTGACTTTGTGAAGAGTCCCTAAGTTTAATTCAAGGTACCAAAAATAAAAATCAAAAGAGAGTTAAGAGTTAAAATTCCAATCAGATTCTTCTTTTGAAAATAATCTGTTTAGTTAATAAATTTGAAAAATGACATAATCTACATCAAACATCAAAATACTTAGAATGAAAGCAAAACTACATTTTGAAGCAAAACCAAAGCTTCACAACTATTCATCTGCATCTGTAGAAAATGGAATATTCCTGGCTTCTCAGGCTGCAGGTCACCAGGGTAGAGAGCTGAGGGCAGACAGGATGAGTGTTCTCCAGAGGAGGTGACTCACCAGAGGTGGATGGAGTTGGCCGGGTGCTCAGGGCTCCCAGGAAACCAGGCAGTGACTCCAGGCTCCAGGATCCTGGATGGCTCCTCAGAAGCTTTTATTTACCTTCCTGATCCTATCTCTTCCTCTTCCAGTACTATTGTCCTATCAGAGTGTAGATTTCTGAATGGCCACTCAGTTAATTCTGGTTGTTTTCCAGCTTTCTCCAAATTAATAAATAGGATCAAATGTCCATTTTGGACAGGGAAGAATTAAGAACAGAGTAAAATTAAGGATTCATTTCTGATTCAGTACATATCACTCATTGAGTTCTACTCAGATGTGAATGTCATACCTTTCCATGTGATATAGGTTAGAGTTTAATCTGTTCCTGACAAAGGAGAGGAAAAAATCAAACTTGAAACACGGTTGTTTAGCAATCTCTAGCCACATGAAATTTTCAAAATATATCAGAGTTAGAACAACTGATCTAAGTTTGTATGAAGATAGTGATGTTATCTACAAAGAAAACAGAGCAGAAATCTGTGTATCTAATGGTTACTTTTCTTCCTGACAGAAGACCATGTGCTCATTCAGGAAGAAGAGAGAACACTTAGTATGAAGTTGGTCTTCAAGACTCAGGTGAAAGCCAGGCTTGGTGACACCTGCCTATGATCCCAGACCTGAGGAAGCAGAGGCAAGAGGATAGCAATTTCATACCCAGTTTTGTCAACTTTGCTGTTTAGTGAGAACCTGTCTTAAAATAAAAAATAAATGAAAAGAGCTTTTCTTTGTAGCTCAATTGGAAGACCCTGGTTTTATTCTGTAACACTTGGTGGAGCAGAGTAGGGAGATCTTCATGTAAAGATTTTTTTGAAAGGAATCAGGCCAAAATGAAAAGGAGACATAAGTATGAAAGCCTGTACCTCAAAAATTAAAAAAAGAAAGGAAAATCTTAAAAGATCAAGCTTAAAATGATTGTAAAGAAACCCAACTTCATGGTGTATGGTGTAGTGAGTTCAAATTCAGTATTAACTACATAGCAAGACTTTGTATAAAAAAAAGACCTCAACTTCTACAGGATCCAAGAACATAGGATAGGTCAGTGGTGGTGAATCTATGGCATGCATACCACAGTGGATATACAGAGCCCTTTCTGCCAACATGCAAGCAAAGTTGCCCCAGTAAGCCAAGTGACCCTAGCAGCCAAGTATTCAGGTTTAATTGCAGTCTTGGAGCTTTGTGATAAATAAGTGGATTTGAGGGTGCAGTATGGACACTCAGTCTCTAAAAGAGTTATCATCACTGATGATGAATAGCCTGTCATTTTAGAATGCACTAGAATTATAAAGTATAAAAGCCAACATTCTTATGTGTGCTGGTGCACACTTGTAATCCCTATAGTCTGAAAGGTTAAGGCAGAAAAATGGCAAATTTGAACTTAGTTGTCATTTGAATCTCCATCTCAAAATTAAAAATAAAGAAATACTTGGGTTGTACCTCATCACAAATGTTTAATCCTGTGTACCAATAAAAAAAGAACCCCAACACCCTATTCCCCCATGAATCAAGCAGACATTAATCTCTCCCCTCACCCAGAGCCTGTTCGCTTGTGGGAAAAACAATGTCCAGGAAGGGAGGACCAACCAAGTTCATTCTTTGCAAAGCCAGAATTTTCTGTACAATTCAGTGTCTTAGCACCTCTCTCTGGTCCAGCCTGAAGGCTGGAAATTGGGGACCTTAGTTCCATATGCTAATTTCTTGTTCTCCTCATGGTTCTCCTTACCAAGTCAAAGGAGTCTGGCAAGCCCTTGTGGTGTACAGCTCCCCCCTTCTT